TACTTTGAAGAAAAACGTGGCAACTTCTAAGAACTATGAAATAAAGATACTGGATAATGTTTCATTGATTTCTTTTATGGAAACTACTCTGGAGATTTGAGTCTCATGACCCCAAAGGAAAACAAACAATTAGAATTATATCTCCTCCGTTTGTATCCCTTCCAAAGTCTCTCTTTCTCTTTCTCTCCTCTCCACCTTTGTCCACCTGCAGCTGTCTATTCATATCTTTACATCTTGTTTCTCACACAGCCATAATTCCATCATGGTAGTGCTCTCATCTCCCTCTATCTTGTATGCTGCGTGCAAGCATGTGTGCTCCCGTTGTGTTGGTGACACCAGGTTTGCCAGGTCGAGTCTCGTCTTAATTATCCAACAGTATGAACGCCACCTCTCCGGAAAGTGTTCCTCTCTCATTAACAGTGGTGTTATCACACTAATTGTGCCACAATGGGGAAATCATTTGTGTTGCAGAAGCCCATTGCAAGGTGTGTGTGTTTGGGGGAGGAATTGAAACATGTCTAGCGGCCAACATGTGTCTAGTTTTTTAGGTGTGAACCGTGTCACTTGGCTGTCATTCTGATGGTGGATATTTGTATTCAGCAACCAAATTATAACTTATTTGATTCATAAAATGTATCCTCAAACTGTTGTAAATTATAAGTAATGACCGCCCCGCTTCGTGGTATCTTATGAGCTTCGGATGGTGAAATCTTGTTATAGCGTTCTCGCTCTCTGGCGGTCTGCAACTCGGGTTCACTTGTGATTAATCTAAACCAACAGAAGGTTGTCAAACGGGACTGTTCTTTATTGCCAATTGCTGTCTGCAAAGACACACACCCACTCTAGGCACACACTCACACATATACACACTTTATGATTACATCAGGCTAAACTAGCTCGTTTATCATCTTACATCACATTACCTTGTGGCCCATGGTTGTAGAGGGCAGATGGCAGCGCTGGCACGAGTGTGTGTGTGTGTGTGCTTGGTCTCTGGAGGTGTAACCCGGCTCTGCATGCCAAGCTGTGCCAAGTGCTCACAGCTGGCAGCGACCTAGCAGTTGGTCTCTCTGGACAAGTTGCCCCCTGCGCCAGGACAAACAGGAAATCAGCCCTGCGGCCTGGCAGGAAACTGGCTGTGTGGCCAATGGGAAATGAGGAAAGGGGGAGAATAGAGCAGGTTGGAGAGGCAGGGGTAGCAATAGCATCAGAATGAGATGTCAGTAGGAACAGAGCAGAGGAAAAGCATTGATGTACCAGAAGAGAGTTCAAGAGACTCTCAGGGAAATGTCGAGGTATTAAAAGACATGGCGACGGCAGATGATGGTGGAGAGAAAATTGTACCTTAAATTTGGGTTGTAAATTAACATGACCTTTTCATTCTCACCCTCATGCAACCAATATATAGATTTGGAATCAAATGTTTCACAGGTATTTTAATAGATATATCTGCATGCATGCGATGCTCCTTTACGATGCCTAAAAGTCTGTCGTATGGCCTGCTCTCTTCTGCCAATTTGATCACAAAACGCCCGTCTTCAGAGGCCTACGAGCTTCTTGTTTGCGCTCAGACATGAGCGTTTCAAACCCCTTCTCTTCTCCGGCAAAGGTGAGCTTGTTCCTCTGAAGAACCCCAGAATATCATTTGGTGAAAGGTTATTTTGGATCTCAAACGGAACTAAAGCCACCGAGACTCCCGTTCTCCAACGCAAGGCTCACTGAAGTTTGAACTCCGGCGAATTCCCTAGGTTCTTATTTGGGATGCATTTCTTCTGAGACATGGATCATTTTCCCAGACATGTATTGTGGCTGGGTCCTTAGTGTGGAGGCAATGCTCCAAAAGTAATCACCAGGAGAATATCTTGGAGGCATTTCTACTGAGGCATGGGTCTAGTGCAAGCAATTAGCCATTTCTTCTTTTGAAGGCGGGTCAACTGAGGACTTTTGAGGCATTCAAGGTCACCTAATGTTGCTTTTTATGTCACCAAAACACACCACATTTTGAAGGATCCTGAAAACTCAACCACATGTAGTGGTATAAGACTTAACTCCACAGCTTTGATTATTATATCCTTTTCACATTGAACAGAAAGAGCTGGACCACCTGTCCATGAAAGTGAGTGATGACCTAGCTGTTTCTAAGCACTAATCAGTGCAAAGCTGCTTAGTTCCACCAGCAGTCAAAGGGGGCACTGTTGCATTGTGATCCAGGCACACTGAATCCAGTACCTCCTCTTAGCCTTTCCTCTTGTGTGTCCTTGTTATTGTGATGAGCAATGGCTAATTCCAGTGCGACCACTGGACTCCTGCAAGCCGTCCCTTCTAATCTTCTCCAGAGTCAAGGTCTAGGATTGGACCGCTGCCCGACAGCGACGCTTTAGCCTCGACAAAGACCGATTTGAGACTTTGGGATACTTGTGAGAGGTGGAGGGAGGGGGAGGTTCTCTCAGAACGGCGGAGCAGTGGCACTCTCACCACCTCGTTAATCAGCAACGACACCATGCGGAATGCCAGTCAGCCCGTTAGCAATTAATCGTTTCAACTACAAATGTAATGGCATCACTGTTGCCCAGAGAGAGAGGGCTGCATTCATGTGTTATCATTGTTATCATTGTTTTCCTGCATCACTATAGAGATGCTATCAGACTAAATACTGACTTCAAATTGATCAGATGACACTTTTGTCTCTTTGCCGATACGACAGCTGCTCCAACTCGCCATTTATCTTTAGTTGATTTTGGTTGACTTCTTCTTCTGTAGCCCCTATTTAAACTGCGGAGAAATATTTTGGGTTTTCCATCAGATCGTATCTCTTTATGTTTCCGCTAAAAATGGCTATATTGTACAGTATATCCTGCGGCTGTAATGCATTTTCATTTTCCTTCCACACCTCTAGAATGAACTACACTGACAGATAATCATAATCCAGCCTCTGACCACTTCCATATCTGGTATTAAAGATCTTGTGGCCATGCGAGCACAATTTCTGGACACCTTGATCTACCCGGGTGTGATGGGATGAAAGGTCTCGCTGAAATGAAGGGACCGTAGCCTCTCTGTCTGCCTTCAATCCTTACCTGACTTCAAGCAGACAAGACAATGATGAGAGGGCCTGCATGAGACACACACACACACACACACACACACACACACCATATATATATATATATATATATATATAGATATATATATATATATATATATATATATATATATTATATATATATATATATATATATATATATATGTGTGTGTGTGTGGTGTATATATATATATATATAGTGCCTAGTTGTTAGTGGCTTTGTAACCCTGGTCTGCTGTCAGCTGTCTGTCTGTCGGACTGAGCATGCTCATTACAACCTTGACAACATTCCACCAGGGTTACCAAGGATACCAAACAGAGCTGCCAGGTCCTGTGTATGTGCTGTTGTATTAGGAATGCAGAAACTCACACAAATGCATAACTCAATTTTTTTTTTTAGACCACATATAAGCACTCTCCGTCTCTCTGGCCCCCTCTCTCCTTTTTCCTATTCTCTGTAGATCATTGTTAATCAGTCTCGTCCCATCTCCTCTCTACTGGCTGTCAGTGGCTTGTCAGAAGCCCGTCAAAGCCCCTGCAGTCCGTCACACACTGCTGCCGTTAATGACATCTGATGACACCCGTCGTTGAAGTCACCCACTAGAGATGACTGGGAACTCAGTGTGCTCCCTGCTTGGAAATGGTTTCCTTTTGTCTCGTCTGCTATGCCTTTTAGAATGTGTCAGTACATTACTCTGCGGAGTTTATTTACAGGTCCTCACTTACCTTTTTGGATGCAGCAATTGCAAATGTCTCAGCAGATGCCACTACCGATGTTTACAATAACAATGTTGCCGATGGAAGTGCTATACAGGGATGTGAACAGATGTCAAAACTCTATGAATGCTGGATTTTCTTTACCGATCGTGAACAATCTCACAGGAGGACAACCTGTAGCGATGTGCTCCTTCTGCAGTTGTATGGACTTTTAAGTTAACGTATATCGCCACAGTCAGTGTTGTAATCCTTAAAAAATTACGGAGGTCATTCAGATCTTGTTCGCCAAATAAATGACGGGTAACACAAACTCTGCAACAGTCACATAGCCTCGCAAAACGGATGACAATCGGCTTCAACCATCAACGCATGTTACCTTATTTGCTGATGTGCCGATGACAGAAAATAGGGCTACGATTGGCCGATGCACCGCTGCATTCTTACTGACTTCCTTCTATACCTCAATCTTAACACTACAGCTTTTTGAATGAATGGTATCAGGAAATGCATATGAACAATTTAAACAAAAGGTCACAAACATAACATATAAATTGATAGAAATATATTAAAAAAAACATATAAGAGTGGGAAGTATAAAGGCAACTCATTAAAAAGTTGGTGACATGATTCTGATTTAACTTCAACAGGTTCAAAGATGGGGGGAAAACAGTTGCATCAGCTTGTTTGTTTGCCCTTAAGAATAACAAACTCACTGTTCCTGCCTTTTTAAAGGGTACATTATGTTGTTTTTGTATGGCTCTGTGACATTTTTATAATGCTTAAAGTAGCCATGGAAAATGGTTGTGCCAAAGACAGTAATCATTTTGTTTCTCTATTACTCAGATTTGTATTTTCTACCCACATGCTCAGCTGCCTCCCTGGCTTTATCCCTATACTTTATTCTGTGCTGCAGTTTGCCAGCATCTTCATTCTTTTGTATTCCTCTCATTCATAACCCACCACCTTAACCTTTCCCATTGCTTCCAGCCTCTCCCTTTTTAATGTATCCTCTTTCTGACCTGATGTTCTTCTTCTGCTCTTCTGAGTGGTGGGCATACTGCACAACAAAGTCTCTTCTTTTATTCTTTCCCCGTTTCCTACCTAGCTCTTTTAAAAATGTATTTTTTGGCCTGTCCATCTCTCTCTCCCCAGCAGTGCTTATTTCTCACTCTCTCCGTCTGTTCTCCTTTGTCTTCTCTAGAGGAGGAAGTGGAAAACTTTGACGTGTCCAGTCTCCAGGAAGAGGCTCTGAGGAACATCGAGGCTGACAGCTTCTGGTGCATGAGCAAACTGCTGGACGGCATCCAGGTGGGTGGGTGGGTGGGGGTGTGTGTGTGTGTGTGTGTGTGTATTTGTGTGTGTGTGTGTGGTTCTCTCAGAACAAACTGATACAAATGCCCTCGTATGGTTTTATACCAGTATGAGTACATGCTCACTCTCCTACTGCCTGCCTTGTGGATTTAGTATACCTTTACATTTCTTTTTCTCTCTTCCGAGCTCTTTTAAATCTCCGTTTGGCATGGATCCCTGCTCCTCTGATCTAGTCTTAATGGATATAAGTGGTCTTATCACTTCCACTTTGTTTACTTCACTTCTCCACCTGTTTGCGCCTGGCAGGAAGTGTGCTATCTAAAGCATCTTTAGATCTATACAAAGTGTCTCAGGTGATAACACGAGGGTGAGATCTCCAGACTGATTGCTACTATTGCAATATTTTGACCTTATTGCAAGTGCGATATAGGATGAATTCCTATTTTTGTATCATTATTCTCATTATTATGTAAGTCAGAATAATGTATGGAGCATGGTGTACATATTGACTGTGTTCAAGTAAAAAGTGGCTGTATTTTGAATACACCCCCATATATATATATATATATATATATATATATATATATATATATATATATATATATATAATAAATTAAATACATCGTAAGAATAACATTTTCTATCTCAGTAACATAGATATATTATGCCTTAAGTGCATTAAAAGAGTGGGTGAATGCACATGTACAGTAGCTTGTCTTTTTATGTCTTTATTTATAAGCTTAATTTCCTTCTTTGTTATTGTAAATCCACTATTATTAAGGAATATTTTACAAGATATCTTTTGAGACATTTTACTGGCATGATTCACTTTTAATCCATAAATGTCAGAACTAGTTTTAAGTACAGATAATGGGTTTTATTCAGAGTGTAAAGCCAACAGGACGTCTCTTACACTCAGCGTTTGGATGAATTTGCTTTTCTTGTGTGGGTTTAAGAAATGTGATTGTCTTGCATGTTCTAAAGCAGGTCTGGGAGTCTCGTGAGCAGATAATTGCACACAGACCGGCGCACCAAGCTTCATTTTGTTTCATCATGTCTTAGCCCAAACCCTTTTGCCCAGCAGCTCTCTTAATCGACCTCGCTCTCAGCGGTCATGGTTGAGCCATCTGTCAATTCTTAACGGGCCTGCCTGGGCTGCCGGATGCACTTGCACCTCGACTCACCGTCCTCAATTCGGCCTTGGTCTTAAAATCAGTTTTTAACCACATGTTGAAGCACAACTTCTTTTAGATGCCATTTGCGCTGTCAGGAAATGCAAGAAACGTTGTTCCTCAGCAAAAACCGCCAAGTTTTTAGTCGTTTTTGACATTAACGACTTTCGATAAGTGCAAAAAACTGTGAAGATTCAAACTCAAAAAAGGAAAAGTTCAGATATATTTACCAAAAACAGGTTGGTTTTCAGTTTCCTACGGAATATGTTTGTACTTTTTGCTGTCCTGATATCAGTGGGAAGCTTGTTCCACCATTTTGGAGCCATAATAGCAAACAGGCATGTGTGTTCCTGGGTCCATATCGCAGTGAGGAAGTAACAAGCCTATTGGCTGATGCAGAGAGAAGTGCACATGTAAGATTTCACCATGTCCTGGATGTAAGAAGGACCAGATCCCTTCACAGCACGGTAGGCCAGTACCAGTGTCTATACGCGCATTTGGGTAGCCACTGGCAGCCAGTGAAGGGAGTGAAGGAGCAGTGTATTGTGGGAGAAATTTGGTTGAAGATCAGTCAAGCTGCTGCATTCTAGATCAGCTGCAGAGGTTGGATGGCCTTCTGGGTCATTAGGGGAAATATCCTCCTGATGTTGTAGAGTGTTTCTGCAGCAGCCGGACTTAACGTTATTAAGAGAGGTCTGTTTGGTTCAAATCGTAATAGCCTGGGTGTTGGTGGTTGTCATAGCTACTCTATTCATTGGTTTCTGGCACAGTAAAAAAAAGCATTTGCCAAGTCCTCCACAGTTAGGTCAATGACCCTCATCTAAAATAACACTTAAGAGAATGGCCGCTGCAGTTAGTCTTTAAATGTATTGATTAGGACATATGCTTATTGTTGTATGGAAATAAGTATTTTAGGGCCAAAAAAACTATATCTTAATGGCGGAGGAACATTTTATTGAGAAGAGCAGGCTTGTTTTAAAATGTACATATAATATACATTTGTTCAATAAAATAAACCTAATATTGTGAAACTCTATATATATGGCCCCGTCCTACATTAGAGCTAATGAATAGTGTGGAGCATGTGTTGTGCATAAAAAGTGATCATCCATAAATAACTATCAATTGGTCGGCTATTGATTAAGGAAATTAATAGACGCTGTGCCTTGTTGCCCCTGAAAGAGCGAGACGGAGAGAAGCTTGAGAGCAGGGGAAGTAAAGGAGAAGAATAGAGTGTGTGTGTCTTGTGTGTGTACGGCGCATTGTTTGTCCCCATGCTTGAGTTTGTTTGTGACCTTGGCTCCAAACTAATTACGTGCAATGCACCAGGGAAGCCCATGTTTCCCCCCTAATGCTTTCTAAACAATCTGACGCAGGCCGAGTGCCTCAGCACCATAATTAGTCGCTGATCCCAGCTCTGACCTCGTCTCAAACCCTCTCACATCCACTATACACCATTACACTTAACTGAGGGCCCAGAGGTGGGGGTCTGGGGGGGTTAGAGATGAGAGAGTCTGCCCATGCAATTACATTTGCTCACTGCCTTTATGAGCGCCATGTAATATCCGTTGTCCACTTGTTTTGGACGAATTTGCATGAAATATTGAAACACTGGTTGGAAAACGTTGTGAAGAAAAGCATTCTCCCATCCATCCATGAAACACAGCTGGTTTATAATTACCAGGTGTACAGTGGTAAACACTTTTGAAAGTTTTTCTTTGTTTTTAATACAGTTAATTGGCCATTAGCTTTGGTTTTTAGTGTCTCACTGCCATGCCTCTCCTCCACCTAAAAGTGAACGGGGCTATTTTGGCTGTCAATTCACTTAAGCAGCTTCTCTAATGAGCAGATGCTTTAATTGGCAGCACCCTCCTCCAATGGGGGCAGACGGGGATACGTATGTTAATACAAATCCGTAGATACCAAGCGAGTCAGAATCAGAACAACCTGTACAAAATGTCTTTCTGTAGGCGGTATTTTCTTGTTAATCTTCACGCGTCATAAGCACATACATGTTAGGAATGCTTCGAACAAGCCTTTTAATGGCTAGTGTGCAGAGCAACATTTTTATGTGTGCATTATTGATTCAATTAGAGCTGTTGTCTATGCTGACATCCACTCTACACATCCTACATCAGAATCGCTTTAGCAGACTGAGTGACAGTTTCAGGGATGAATGAGTGAAGACAGCCATTCTCTTGTCCTCGCATGACCTGGAAGGCACTGCTAAATAGACACGCACTGTTGTGTGTGTTTTCAACAACATCAACAAGATAACAGCACACAGCCCTCGACACCTCATTTACACATCAAACAGGCTGCCACACTGAGTCTGATGATCAAAAAACAAGGCTGAACTACTGCTCTGGAAATGCCAACATTAGTAATGTTCAAATCGGCCAATGTTTATTATTGTCTATGATTACCCAGCCATGTGATCCATTTAGTGCTTTTCTTCTTTTATACCAATACATAAACTACCATCTTATGCCCCGGCCACACGAGGACGAAAACGGCTAAACGCATAGGATTAACGCAAACGCAATCAAACAAGCTTCCGTCCACACGCAATAGTAATCCGGATAGTGTCTGCCCACACGAGACAGCTCCGTTTAGCTCCAACCGCTGGAGAAGCTGCAGTACATATGCAGGAGCCTGTACGTGGCGCTGTAACTTCCTCCACAAAAGCAACGAAGAAGCATGGTTGTCATGGTTGCCCTTCTGTTTATTCTCCGCGGTGGGGGCCGAGGGAACCGGGCAGAGTTTTTCGCCAGTCAACGTGTATTCAAGTTTAAATCTTCCGACAAAATTATAAAAGTGCCGGTCAAAGGTCTTCTTTGTTATTTATTGAGCTTTAAAACAAATGAATAACGACTCTATATAATATAATAATAAAATACACGGAGCCTCTCTTTTTCCACCCTCTCTTCGGACAGCGTCAGTGTCTGTCTCATGCAGCAGCTGATCCAGTAATGAGTGACCCGGCCGACAGTAAAAATAAACATATTTATAACTAGTTTAGGTAGTTTGAGAGGTGTCTCCGTCCTGTCAGATTAGACTTCACTCGCGTTTATGTCCATATCGAGAGAAAGATAAATAATCTGAATTCAGTGTGCAGTTTACTTTGACGCGGGGGTGAGCAGCAGAGGTGGGGAGAGGCGGGGCTATTGCCTCATCATTATCAGAAAATGATCGTATAGGGCGTACACACGGAGCCGTTGGACCCCCCAGAGCGTTGCGTATGCCGTTCTATCCACCTTGGGACCCGTTATCGTTTCCGCAGTCGTTTAGTGCCGTATTCGGTCGTCCTCGTGTGGCCGAACGGTCTATATGACACTAAACAGTAACGCAAACGACCGTTTTCGTCCTCGTGTGGCCGGGGCATTAGAGTCACTGTGAATTTGAAAGGGCAACTAAACAAGATACAGTAAGAAGGCGAAACAGGAAATGGCCCGTCTACAAATCAATAAATCTTCCCATTTGCAACACACCTCTGCTAATTTGACCTTAATGTAACCCCAGTCTCTCCGGCAGACAATTATTCTTTTACAGAGCTAAATTGAATAGCGCCTCTGGCTAACATGACTCATTTAACTTGTAAAAATGGTGCAATTTTTGCTGCTTCACTGAAAGAAAATGGAGCTTCCCGTTATCAGGCTGTTCATTTAAACATGTCTTGTTAATTCCATAATATATTAGTAACCTTGACTGACTTGTTTTTTACCGATATAGAAGCATATATAACTTGAAACGCTCATAACTCATTCTCAGTATGTAGGAGCTATGTGCTGCCAATGAGTCTCACCTGCCATGCCCAGCGAGGGA